GGATTCACGACCCTAGTGTCATATTTGAGAAGGATAAATACTGGCGCTTCTCGACTAGCGGCAACATCGCCATTGCCAGTGCACCATCCCTGGGAGGGCCTTGGCAATATGAAGGCGCGTTGTTACACAACGGTACCAGCATCCAGGTTCATCCGGATCAAGACATCTGGGTAAGTCCACTTTATCCATGTACTGAATCTTGATCTATCAAGGATCTTTCTAACTTTCGAAAACAGGCACCTTCAGTAATGAAACGAGGCGACACCTTCTACTGCCACTACTCCGTCTCCCGAATCGGCCTCCAAAACTCCTCCATCGGCGTCGCAACATCGCGGTCCCTCGAACCCGGTAGCTGGCAAGACCACGGGGATATCGGCCTCCCCCTATCCGACAAGTACAACCTCATCGACCCCTTTGTCTTCCAAGAGACGCCCAAAGACCCCATCTACTTCACCTTCGGCTCCTTCTGGGACGACATCTTCCAAGTCGAGCTTTACCCGCACGACGACCTCATGGCTTTTGGCGGGTGGGCCGAGCAGAATAACCGCATCAATAATATGGTGCGGAATAGTACTTACGGGGCTACGGTTGCTGAGGGCGCTATCATGTGGAAAGAAAAGGACTTTTACTACATGTTCTACAGCGTGGGCATGTGTTGCAATACGCCAGAAACTCCAGGAGGTCTTGCTCCTGAGGGTCAGGTCTATCACGTTGTTGTCTGTCGCTCGGAAGTTCCTACTGGGCCTTTCTATGATCAGGAAGGAAAGAGTTGTCTCGAGGAGAATGGCGGTACGACGATTCTCGCTAGCCATGGCGATGTCTATGCGCCTGGTGGACAGGGTGTTATGGTCAACCCTGAGAACGGGAGGACTGTGATGTACTATCACTATGGTAAGTAAAAACCTGGTAATGATGTGTTTGGATCAAGCTAACGTTGATGCAGTTCGCCCGAGTATCAGCTATGACGCTGAGCATTTCTACTTTGGATACAACTACGTTGATTGGCAAGATGGTTGGCCGGTCGTTGTTCCTGCTGAGTGATGGGCGTTCTGCAACAGCCATCGCCTAATTTCTTTCTGGTTTCTTGATTACTTGGAGTGCAGCGTCTCGAGAACGGTCTTTGGGATGGCCATCCTGAGGCTCACGATTCACGATTTACGACTCACGACTTCACGACTAAGACTGTACTGGAAGCAATGCTGGATGAGCATTGATGTAAGATGTGGTTTGTCGGAGGCTTTCGGCGAACTGACGCGATTACTGCTGTATCATGGCTCTGAATGTTGCCATGACTCTTTATCGTAGATATTCATATGTAGTACCATCGAATCCCACACTTTCTGACAATATGTATTGTAGTACAACCTTTTCTTTCGGTTCCTGTCAAAGCTCCCAGTCCATCAGACTTTTCTCTCAGCTGATGCGCTGCATACTAGTCTTTTCTGCCGCGCGGACGCGCTTAGTTTCGGAAGTGGTGGGATGAAGCAGCCGGAGGGCCGATTACGCGGGGTAAAAATAACTTCCACGGTCATGATGTCGCGCATGCTGAATCTGATGAATTGGTTTTACCGAGGAGATAAGCTTCTTGTAGTGCTATGGTAGTGGCATCAGGAACCCGGTGCTGGATCGCTGTCGGGTCGTTATTCCCAGCCCCCGGGCTGATGGTAGCCTCAGCTGCGATGGACGCTTGAGGGAGGTGCATGATGGCTATTGCTCGGAAAGGCTAGCCGCCAATGACGTCACCAATCGGTTCCTCCGGCCGCTGAGATCGCGCCATGCCTATTTACCTGCCAAGTGCAGCACAGTGAATACAGGTTATTCCATCCCTGTGGGTCAGTACAAGACCAGTGCACGCGACCGATCGCCTCTCCGTCGCCTACGCCTCACTCCTCAGCCTCCATCACCAGCCTCAGCATCTCTACCATCGCTACCCCGCGCGATTGCTGATCGCTGCGCACGGTCGTCAACATGCCCTCCCAAGAAAAGGGCCTCAAGAAGCTCTTTCACCCCTTCAACCATCGCGCTTCTGAAAAGATTGAGGAGATTGAGCAAAAGCTCGAGCACACCAAGTTACGAGGTGCGCATATTAAGGCTGTGCACATCAAGCATAAGATCGGCAAGTTCACCAACCTCTTCAATGCCAACCATCGCCACGACGAGGAGCATGAGAAGGAGACGGACGCCAAGAGGAGCAAGATCGCGGAGAACCACCGCTTCCATAGCTTCGCACCAGAGCGCGACAACAACTTGGTGAAGTGGTATGTCGATGGTAGGGATTACTTCTGGGCCGTTGCCGAGGCATTGGAGCAGGCGAAAGAGACCATCTACATTGCGGACTGGTGGCTCAGCCCTGAGCTCTTCCTAAAGCGACCTCCCTACTATAACCAGCAATTTCGACTGGATCAAGTGCTCAAGCGCCGTGCAGCTGCTGGTGTGAAAATCTATATTTCTGTGTACAAGGAGGTGAGGTCATCAATCTGCGTCAAATAAACAGCAGCTTATACTTACTCAGGTTTCTGCGGCTCTCACATGCAACAGTCAGCATACCAAGAAGGCACTCATGGGCCTGTTTGAAGAAGGCGAACCTGGGTACGGAAACATCAAGGTGATGAGACATCCTGACCACAATGTCTTCGAGAATGCTTCGGATATGACGTTCTACTGGGCGCATCACGAGAAGTTCATCGTCATCGACTATGCCATGGCCTTTATCGGTGGACTGGACTTGTGTTACGGCCGATGGGACGACAAGCAGCACCCGCTTGCCGATGCCCACCCGTCTGGTGTTCAAAACCAAATCTTCCCGGGTCAGGACTACAACAACAACCGTATCATGGACTTTGAGAGCGTTGATGACTGGAAATCGAACAAGCTGAACAAGCTCGAATTCGGTCGCATGCCGTGGCACGATGTCGCAATGGGTGTCATTGGCCCAGCGGTTTACGACATCGCTGAGCATTTCGTCTTGCGATGGAACTTCGTGAAGCGAGAAAAATACAAGCGTGATGAAAGATACGATTGGCTCACCATGGAAGGACGTGAAGGCGCCGACGAAGATCTGATCGGAGTGCAACGGCCCAAGTTCCCTGTTGGCCAATATGTACACCATCCTCTCACACAGCTGAACAGCAAGAACCTCGACAACCGTGGAACTGTACACGCGCAATTAGTCAGAAGTAGTGGCGACTGGAGTATGGGCATTGATCCTCATGAGCAGAGTATCCAGAACGCATACTGCGAGATCATCCGTAACGCGCAACACTACGTCTACATTGAGAATCAGTTTTTCATTACGGCAACGGGTAAACACGACCAGAGCCCTGTCCACAATCAGATCGGAGCTGCAATGGTCGACGCTATCGTTTCAGCAGCTAAAGAGCAGCGCAACTTCAAGATCGTCATTGTCATTCCAGCGATCCCGGGGTTTGCGGGAGATCTGCGAGATCAGGCCGCTGCTGGAACACGAGCTATCATGGACTATCAATTCAAGAGTATCTGCCGAGGAGAAGAAAGCATCTTCGGACAGATCAAAAAGGCTGGTGTCGATCCAAAAAAGTACATTTTCTTCTTCAACCTTCGTTCATACGACCGTATTAATGTCACCCCCACGCTTAAGGAGCGCGAGAAGAAGTCCGGGAAGTCGTACATGGATCTGGAAGCAGCTGAGATTGACGAGCTGGAAGCGCCACCGGAAGAGGGAGGTGACGAGGCACGACGCAAAGCCGCTGAGATGAGGAAAGCGTACATGGATGAGGAGGAAGATGTGGGCAAGGGTGACCAGGGTGGTGTTATTGACCCAGACTCGATTGCCGATGACGCGATGCTTACAGAAAAGAAGCCCAGTGAGGAAGCTTGGGAGGGCGAAGAAGAAGAGGAGAAAGAGCACTTCTTCCAAGAGGAGCTTTACATCCACGCCAAAATCTGCATCGTCGACGACAAAACCGTAATCTGCGGATCCTCCAACATCAACGACCGCTCCCAATTGGGCTTCCATGACTCCGAACTCTCCATCGTCCTACAAGACACCGCAGAAATCGACACTGAGATGGACGGAAAGCCCTACAAAGCCGCAAAACTCGCCCACGAACTCCGCAGCAGTTTATGGCGCGAACATCTCGGCCTCCTCCCACCTCAAGCCCTCAACGCCGCCGACGACCCTAACGCGCAGCCCCCTGGCGAGAACTCGCCAAACGACCCCATGCCCGGCCCCGAAGCAGACTTTGTCTCTGACCCTCTGTCACCCAAACTCTGGGACGAATGGACCGAGCGCGCGACTACCAACACTGAGGTGTTCAGATCGCTGTTTCACGCTGATCCCGATGACAATATCCTCACGTTTGAGGACTACGACAAGTTTACGCCGAACCCGTCTGGAGACAAGGAACATAAGCAGGGTCATTTGTATGACATGGTTAGGCCTGTTAAGGAGATTAGAGCGGAGTTGGACCGTGTCAAGGGGCATTTGGTGTGGATGCAGTTGAAGTTTTTGGAGAATGCGGATATGGCTGAGAGGGGGCTGCAGGTTAACTCTTTTACTGAGAGTGTGTATACTTGAGGTGGATACATGGTGGTGGGAAGAGGTGGTAGGAAGAGGTGGCTGGCTGTTGGCGCTGGGCGATTGGACGAGTCGCATCGGTGTATCGTTCGATTCGGTTGTGTTTTCTTTATGATTCCCTATTACGTATCCTCGACGTCTTTATGACCTGAATTTATGCTTCTTCTTCTTATGGAACGGCGATATGTCTTCTTTCCTGTGCAGCACATGCGATGACACGGCGACAAGAGAAAACCCCAATGAAGAATACACAAGTGGCAACAAACTCGTAGTAGCCGACTCACATTACCGCGGAGATCGTCAACTCAATACACAAAAACACAGGAAACGATAACGAGTAGATGAAGTCCCGAAGGCCCAGTGTAATATTCCAATTGTACAAGCAAACATCTTTTGTAGTCCCCAACTGACTTCTTCAAACACCAAACGTAACCTCTTCAACCCTCTATCGCCTCCTAACCTCCACATCACCCTCTCCTTCATCCGTCATCTCCTCATCGTCGTCATCATCACCCTCTTCTTCCCACTCCAAAGCCCCGGCAAAATTCCTCGTCTCACTCCCGTCAGAGACAAACAGCCCTGTACCCGCCGAAGTAGGTACAGCCGACGAAGGCGCAGCAGAAGGAGATGCTATAAATGTCATCGCATCGCCCTCTTCACTGTTCGGCCTTTCCTCTTGCCCAAGCTCAGACTCAACGACGGACTGCTGCGTACCATCGTCCTCCCACGCCAGCGCCGCCTCAAAGTTCTGTGCTTCTGTCTCGTCTCGCACGAACAGGCCGCCTGATCCCGGTGATGTGGGGGCGACGGACATTTGCTCGTCTTCGACTTGATCGTTTGGTGGGTGGTCGAACTCTGAGTTGGAGTAGAGTGGAGATTGGAGGGTAAGGTCTTCGTACTCATTAATTGGCCTCTCTTCGAATTCTGGACCTGGGTATAGGGGAGATTGAAGTGTGAGATCTTCATGCTCATCATCTGGCCTCTCTTCAAATTCCGGAATTGGGTAGAGTGGGGACTGGAGGGTGAGGTCTTCTTCCTCATCCTCTGTTTGCCCTTCATGTCGCGGTTGTGGTGACGGCCAGACGACGGGGGACAGCAGGCCATCGTCCTCATCGAATGTTGGTGGGGGCAGGGGAGTGTTTTGCGCGTCCGAGTCGGATATGGGGTCGTCGGAGAGTTCCATTTTATCGTCGTCCTGCGGCGGCGACGGCGGTGGTGGTAGTGGAGCAATGGGTTCAGCAGCATTCAGGTGCGCATCAGAGTCTACATCCATGCTAGATTCATAGCTTGACGATGACTCTGCAGATGATATCTCGATTGGTTGATGGCTTGAGCTGCCTGTAGTCGGCTGACGAGCAGGAGACCTACCAGCCGGTTGGCGAACAGCTGGTCGGGGAGGCAACATTGGCGCGACAGGAGCGCGAACGGGTACTGCCGGAGTGTATGTCGCAGCCGCAGGTCTGAGTACCGGTATGTCTAAACTTGGAAGTGGGGCCCTGTACTGTTGAGCATGTGTTCGTGGTCGAGGTGGAGCAGGCTGCAGGGGAATGAAGGTGAAAGGTGAGGAGAAGTACCTTGAATTTGGGTATCGGTCAGCCGGTATTGGTGGACCAATGGTGTATACATTGGTCGAGTTGGTGTTCGGTCGCTGAGATGCTGGTCGACGGACGGCTGGAACAGGTTGAGCCGGCGGTGGTACTGGCCGAGGTGGTGGACGTTGAGCGGGTTGTGTTGCGCGTCCACGTCCGCGTCCACGTGCAAGTCCACGTCGAGGTCCACCTCCAGGACGTATCGCTGGACGACGCGTAGGCGCGGGAGCAGGTGTAGTGGGTGGATCGTTCGCCGGAGGGTACTCGTAAACTCCTTGCTCGTTCATTGGAGGCAGCGGCGGCATAGTCCAAGGTACTACTGGCGATCCAGGCTCAGATGTGGGGCTGACTGGTGAAGGTGAAGGTTCCTTCCTCTTGTAGTAACCTCGAGGTTCATGTCGAGCCCTCGTGACGAAATGGGCAAAGAATAGTCTGTTGGCGCCGACGAAATAGATACCGTCATTCCAGTCCTCCTTCGTCAACAGTTCGTCCTCCACACAATGTGTTTCTCGAGAGAAATGGAAATGTAGTCTGAAATAGCGTTCATCACGGTTGAAGGCGTGAAACGTGTACTCAATGAGGTTGTCCCAGTCGCTCAAGTCAGACGCGCGTCGGCGGTATAAGTCTGGACCAATGGCGAAGTCTCTGACTTCGATCAAGGTAGGGCTGGTGGCCGACATCTCGAATCGCGGTGGTGAGTATTGGGGTGAGTGATTGAACGTGGGTGAGGATATATAAGGAGCTGAGTTACGAAGGAGAGATAGCGCAGGCAGTTGGAATTTCTTTGAGAGATATATATTGTGCGCGTGCGTGTAGCGATTGCTAGTGGAAGTCACACGGACGCAAAGGCAACGACAAACGGGAAAGAGAGGGGGTAGAATGACATCAGAAGCTCGTGACTTGATTGTGTACCTAGCAATGAAGGACTTTTGTATATATCCAGCGGCCAAATGCGGTCAAGCGGCTTTCGCTCAGTGTTGAACACCGCCTTCGGGAACGTCTGTAGAATCTGAAAAAGAGTCTGTTTCGTCATCGTTCGCGGCAGTCGCGATAGCTTGCTTGGTCTCTGCTGCTCTCCTCCTTTTCATCATGTCTCTCTCTTGATCACCTGACCCATGCACCACAGACTTCTCGTTTGTCTCCCTCTTCGTCCTGATCATTGCTCTGATCGCGTCAGAGAGCTTCCCCAGCGGCAATGCTACGAGCGACTTTGAGAGATTTACGTCCTTTAACGGAATCTGTATCTCACCGTTCCTGTCCGTATGTCCAGTGTGTCGTGCGGGAATATACGCAATGACGTTGTTCTTCTTATTCAGCATTGCACGAACAGCAGGACGTTTGTGTGGTGTAAGACACCAGTGTTCCTTCGCATGGCCGATGACGACTCCTTCTTTGCGCAGGATTGGGTGCTTCGTATCATCGATGATGATGAATGACACCTCAGATGCGGTAGCTTCAGGGACGATCGGCAGTGACGGACTCACGGTAGAGAGATCAGAATCTGGAGGTGTACTCGTGTCGTGAGGTGCATTTCGCTCTTCGACCATAGCTTTTATGGCTCGCGTTCTCTCTTCGCCGAAGGTAAACTTGACCAGCTCGGGTGTATATTCCACGTGCGTCATCGCGATCTGTATGTCTCCTTTGATTGCGCTCCGTTTTGAGTATCTCGCGGGAATGTAAGCGACTACAGCGCCGACTTTGCTGATCACGGCGCGAACGACAGGGCGAACATTAGGATCGAGACAGCTTTGTGGGAGGGCGCGCCCAATCACGACGCCAGTGTCGAGATGATGACTGCTGCTCGAGTCATCTACGGTCACCACCTCATTGGCAGCAACCGGTAACGCGAGTGTGCTCTTGAGTGTATAGGTTGACTTGAGGACCGGTTCTGTATTGAAAGGTTTGTGTGGCAATCCCTTTGGAAAGGGCTTAGACGAATCTTTCTTCGATTCTCCGAGGTAATCTTCGATGTCTTCCGTGAACTTTCTCTGCATCGTGTCAACCAAGTTCTCAACAAGCGCCTCGCGAATTTACCTTCGTTCGAAGTCCCTGATCGCCATATGTTCCCCGGTACCATAGCTTATCCTCTCCCTCCGCTTCAAAAGGATTGTGTGCGTCCATGCTAGATTCTGGTGGTGGTTCCACCTGTTCGAAGTGTACATATAGTACCAGTTTGCCGTCCACTACGAATTCGGGATCGAAGTAGCCTCCAGCATCCCATTCGCTGGGGCTTATCCGGTCGTCGCAAGCATGACCGTCGAAATGAAGATGCGCGTTGTAGCGTTCCCACGGCTTGACGAAGATGTTGTGCACATTCGCGAGGAATTCCTGTGAGCTTTAGCATGTGATGGCGCTGATCAAGTGCCCATGTCGAAGGCATATGTGGAAGTAAGATACGGCGCATGCTAGATCAGTAACTGGGACGACATACCCAGTAGTTGCGAGCTCGACGGGCCGCAACACGGTAGGTGGTCTCTCGTCCGTTGAATTCGCGGACTAGTATCATGGGAAAAGACTTCATCTTGCCGTGGCGGGGAACTGGGAGTCTTGGAAGTAGACCGACAGAAGTTTGACAGTGCAAGCCCTCAGGTAGCCGAGTATAATCTAGTGGCGACATCGCAGTGAGAGAGACGTGGCATGGAAGCGTGGCACGTGTCAACTTGAGGCGCAAAGAAGATGGGGTGAGATGCGCTGGTTTCATTGCTGGGAACTTGATAATGGGTATCTTAAGAAATATTCAACGCGCTTCAAAACAACGTACTGCTTCCCGCGATTGGGTGTGCCTAGATATCGGCCATGCCGGCATTGCCATTGAGCTTCCGGTTATTCTCCTTCCCTCTGCCTTTGGTCTTCTTGTTGTTGCCATCGGTGACAGCAGTGCTGCTGATGGCTCTCTTCCTGCGCCCCGCTTTAGCGCTTGCGATGGAGGACGGCGTTTCTTCTCTCGATGCACTGGTCACATCTTCCGTCAGGAATTTCCCACTGCCAGCAGCCTCTCGCACTAAAGATGTATAGAGCTCTTGTACGGCGAGTTCGCTTGCACTTGCGTCTTGTGATGCGCTGCCTTCATCGGAGAAGGACGTGTCCGCTAGCGGGTCGGGTGCGACGAGTTTGAGGCGTTCGGTGCCGAGGTGGAAGCTGTTACAAGTGATTCGGGATATCTGGACTTTGGGGTGGGATATGTCGAGAGCGAGGTGCTGTTGCAGATATGCGGCCAGGGCAGCTGTAAAGGGCTTGTCCTGGGTAGCTTGGAGCAGCCTGCCTCTTTCGACGAAACCGGAGATGTCGCCGCCTGCGACTGTGATCTCTACGTGTTTGAGGAGAGTTGTGGTATTGGGGAATGCCAATTGAATATGTAGCTGCCTTATAATGTCTTGTATGGACTGGGTCGAGTACCTCGCTGCGAGGTGCTTGAAGTAGGTCTCGAGACTCGAGGTGATGAAAGGCGAGGGCAGCTTCAGGGGCGCAACGTGGGTATCGAAGGTGGTTCGGAGGTAGTTGAGGAAAATGTCGCGTATTGGGCCCGGCATCTTCACGAATAGTAGGGGCAGCGACGTGAAGCCCGTTTGCGAGGAAGTGACACCCGGGTCGCGCAGCAGGAGCGCATTGTACGACTGCTTCTCGTACTCGAGGCTCACTTCTAGTCCACGCGCCCGCTCTGGAGTGAGCTGGAAGACGGCGGATAGCTGTGACGCATCGGGGTCCATCGACTGGCGATGTCGGTCAATCCAGGCATCCTCGTCGCCAATCAGCTCCCAGGTGCACTCGTCCAATGGGCCCAGTTTCGCAGTGTCGTCGGCAGCGGCAAAGTCGACCTGCACGCCGCGCACGTTGTCGCCCTTGAGCTGTTCCTTGAGGCGCTTGGCATGGGTGCGGAGTGAGGCGTCGACTAGGAGGGGAGTGTCGTGGCAGTGGAGCGGGGACAGGCGGTACAGGTTGTACGTGCGGTTGTAGAGTGGGTACGGGGGGATTTGGGCCATGCTGATGTCAGCTATCTTATCGCGCGGAGGGTCGACGCGTGCGGGTGCTCAGAGGCGGGCGTGCAGGCGTCCATGGGCGTTGCGTTGGAAGACGCTGGCGGCATCGAGACGCGTCGGCGGAGACAGCAGGAGCGAGTGCGAGCGGATATGACGCAGCGTGTTGTTGGACGATTTGCGTGGTCCGTGCCTTCCGCAACACTTTCTTTAGTGACCCCGCTAAAACAGGGCCTGTCGAGAAGGTTCTCTTTTCTTCGACGTATTGCCAGCAAGTCATCACGCAGCGGTCACTTGAAATTTGCGATCCCGTGTCTGTCTATCTTTTACACGACTCCTCCAAACACGACTTTCACCGCACACACTCCCTCCACGTTTGCCCACACATACCCCGCCATCAGAGATAAACATGTCTGTAGTAGGTGTTGATTTGGGAACGCTCAACAGCGTCATTGCTGTTGCGCGGAATCGCGGTGTCGATGTGGTGAGTAGCCCCGGTCGTATACCGTATACCAAAATACTGACGCCAGTAGATTGCAAATGAGGTTTCCAACCGCGCGACACCGTAAGTAGATCCCCAGCGCACACAACGCAGCACATACTAACAATTTCGCAGGTCGCTAGTAGGCTTCGGCCCCAAGAGCAGATACGTCGGCGAGACGGCCAAGAACCAGGAAATCTCCAACCTCAAGAACACCGTCTCCTCCTTC